CTTAAACCACATAAACTTTCTCAAGACCTCATTACAGTTACAGAATTCCCAGACACTGATTAAAAACTGTCATTCGTGGCATAATTCTTAAAATAGTCCTGTTTACACTGTTGTATAGGATGTTTAGATTAATGTGAATTAATAATCTCATATAAATAGAAATAAATATTTGTAAAATGTGCTCCCCACCCCAGTTGTCATTTGGTTTGCTTGTACTGCCATACCAGCCCCGAGTGGGCCGGTGGGTCGCAGGTACATTTCTTTTTTTTGTGCTAATAGTCATTCAGCTGTAAAAATTTGCCCTGCATTTACAGCATCCAAAAGTTTTCATTTTGGACCCTATTTTGACAAATTTGATTTAAGTCAACACTCTCACCCTATTTCTCAAAAGAAACTTTTGAAGGAATAACCCTTTAATCTATGCCAAGGCCCCTGTACAGGTTTCCAACAAAAATTTTCTACACATTTCTCATCTTCACTGAAAATTTAGAACTGCATTAACATATCATTACTGCTTTAATTTATAGGTTATGGTATGAAGAATTTTGCCTGTGTGTTTTCCATTCAAAACAAGAGAGGTGATTTGGAANGGGGGGGAGGACTCCCTGGTACCATATTCTTTTTAAATATCTACCTTAATATAAATATGATCCTCATACAGGCTTTTGAGAGGGGAGCTTTACAGGCACCGATAATTGTTGTTCTTGAAATTTTATAAACCGATAAAGAGTTTCAAAACTTTAAATCTCTTCTTTGATGTCTTTCTGTATTAAGAGAATAACATAGAATAAATTTACATTCTTATTTCAGTATCAGTTGATGAATCATTAAATTTGATATGTGAAAGTTTTTGTTGTGAAATATGGTAAATAATTTTTCTGATGCTGTCATTGTCTATAGACTACATAGCATTGACTGTAGAGCGATTGTTGAGTAGTATGGGAAATGATTTTGAATGAAGCAGTTGTGACCCAACTGAAGTACTGTGCCGATATCTGCCTGGAAGGACTGAGGAAAAGGTTAAAATCCTCAGGTCAACTGATGTCCTAGCTGAGATTTGACTTCCGTAAGAGGCAGACAATTTCTTGACCAGATGAACAACTATTAGATTCTCAAGAAAGACTTTGCTTCATGGGGTTAGTTAGTTTTCCAAGGATCTGGGTTTTGAAAAAGAACAGTCTCACCATTTCTGGGGGATGCAGCGACTGATCCCCAAAATCTGTTTTCATCTTGAGCACTCAGATGGTGAAACATTGAATACGGGGGGGGGGAGCAATAGTAACATTCAGGACAAATATTTATTTTAAACTATTCTTTTGTACCCTTGTCACAGTTTCTTAGGACCACTGCATGCTGGAAACTTATTTTATTTTCATCGTTAAGTGAACAGAAACTATGGTTTGACAGTAGCTGTGCCTACAGACCCGACAGAATAGGTTGACCTGATGACTAAAACAGAACAATTTCTGAAAGACACTGGTTTTAAAAAACTGGGATTTTGGATTCCCAAAAGAATGCTCTTAATTAACGTGTCATACCACTAACAGAAACTTTAAACTTCATTTACAAATTACTTGGTTCCTGTAAGGAAACCAAAGGAAAAAGAAGTGGCTAATTTTGAAATAATAATCTTTCTAGTTATGGTAATACATGTATTAACCTTTTAAAGAATGAATTTCTTCTACATAATAAATAAAAGTTTAGTTTGCACCTCACATGGAATACAATTACATCTTCGCTACAAAGATCAACAGTTAATGCTGTTTATTGAAGCAGTGGCAATTTGTTGCAAGAACTGCACAAAACACACAAGTGCTCTCTGTGGGTAGAGTAGAGAGTTTGAGGATGTTACAGCAGGTGGTACGTATAGAACTACTGAGCCTTAAAAGATTGACATAATGCTGACAAATGATTGCAGACTGGTATAAGTTAAACCATGAACCAGCAATTCAGAAACACAGATATATAGGAACGACAAATTCTTGTTGTTGTTTACTTTCAGATGATGCTCATGATGCGGAGTCATCATATGTTGACTGACGTTATTTTGGAAGTTGGAGGAGAACTGTTCCATGCACATAAAGTTGTTCTGGCTTCAGCAAGTCCATACTTTAAGGTACTCAATATTCACAACTGTGAAAATTATGTATGTAAGAACAAGTGTAACATCCATTGAGAATACATTAGGAAGTCTCAGCATTTGTTATGTAAATTGTTATGGCACTATTTTTATTGCAAGTGGGGTGGAACAGAGTCCCTTGTACTGTGGCCACTTCTGGCCTGTTGTACCAGCCCCAGATGATAGGTGAGGGTGATTGTAGCGCAGTTGGTGGAATGAAGATTGGCAGGGGAAACCGAAGTACTTGGAGAAAACCTGCCCCAGCACCATTTTGCCCACCACAAATCCCACTTGATGAGACCTGGGATCGAAACCGGACCATCACGGTGGGAAGCCAGCGACTAACCGCTTGAGCTATGGCGTGGCCTATTATGGCACTAAATTTAAAAAAAAGACTTACTTTTCTTTTACTCAAATTTTTTCTTTTCTATTAAATGGTTATATGTTTGATGTTATAGGTGTAGAAATTTTGTTTGGCATTCATAAGTTGACTTTTTTGGTGAAAGCAGTTTACATGTCTTCCATTTTTCTGTATTGATTATTATTTAATATGTCACATACCTGGAAACTTCTTTGTTATTTTTAATATTACATATGTATTCTTTTTATATGATATACAAAGGACATTGTGTTTGTCCTATGTAAGCTCTTCTGCAGTCTAGGCATGTCACAGTAGAGATTCTTCAAGTGTCACATTTGTCTGCAGTGGTAGTTGTATGGAACAGGTTCTGTATTGTGTTACGAGTATTTTTTGTAAGGGATATCTTAATTTTTGTCTTTTTTAATTGTTCAGTAATTGTATGTATGTAGCTGCTTGAATATTAAAACTAACTAACTTCATGGAGCTGAGACCTTCTTGAGAAGCTGCCAGTTGTGCAGTTACTCAAGAGTTTCCAACATTTTATGGAACCCCAAGATTCATTACCATGTTCATAAGAGCCCACCACTGGTCTCTATTCTGAGTGAGATCAATCCAGTCGATACCACCCCATCCTGTCCATGTTAATATTATCCACCCACCTACATTTTGTTCTTCCTAGTAGTCTCTTTCCTTCTAGGTTTCCTATCAATATCCTATATACATTCCTCTTTTCCCCATTCATGCTACATGCCCTGTCCATCTCATCCTCCTTGACTTGATCATTCTAATTGTAGTTGGCAAAGAATGTAAGTTATGAAGCTCTGCATTGTGCAGTTTTCTCCAACCTCCTGTCACTTCATCCCTCTTCAGTCCAAATATTCTCCCGAGCCCCCTGTTCTCAAACACCTTCAGTGTGTGTTCTCCCTTAATGTCAGAGACCTAGCAGCACACCTATACAGAACCACAAGCAAAATTAGAGTGTTGTATATTTTGATTTTTACATCTTTAGACATCAGGCTAGAAGACTAAAGATTCTCAACTGAACGGCAGTAAGCATTACCCAAATTCAGATCAGCAACCTCTTAGCATTATGTACAATAAATATCCTATCACTAACAAACTCTCCCCTCTTAACTGCTGATATGATCCTCTTATGTACAAAAAAAACCTCTACCTAATTCATGATCCTCATTCCCCTGTCCATAAAAAAATGTATATTTGTCTGCTGGTTCAGTGTCACCTCTGTCCCATCTGACCTCCTGTACTCCCACTAAATATAACTTACATTTTTATATCTCTTTCACAACTGTCATTAGCGAACCTGCCCTATACAGACTTCTTACATTCCACATACCAAATCTCATCCAAGTCTGAGGGCCTTTGTGACACTTTGTACCAAACTTATTTTTTATGGTGAGGAATTGTCAGCCTCACGCCCAAACAAAGCTGGAGGACCACCCCTTGTTGGCTGTCCGCAACTGGTTATTCAATGTATTCCCAGCTACCATCCATATCTGAAGGCCATCTCCACCATCCTCAACTTGAGGACGTGCCGTGGTGACAAGGGACCCACCTAACATGGAACTGTGACCTACATACAAAGTTAAATTTAATACAAAGCACAAATTCTTTGTCATTTACACACATCATAGAAGACAATGTTATATGATGTTATCATGTCACGGCCCTTTGCATTTCACTGAACAAGATATAAAAGCCTTTGCATCCATACATCACCTGTTCCTTGCACCATGTTAGTTTTAATGTTAATGTTATATCAGCTCAATTTGAAGTGATTCATTTAAAATCTTAAATAATTTATGTAAAACTATGTTAAAGTTTCTCTTAACAGTGGACACCCCAGAAGATGGCAGACTGTGGCTGAAAGTGCTGGGCCTCATAATCATTTATTAAAATCCTGGATACACTTGATGGTATTCCTGCACTTATTTTAATGTAAATAATGTATCAGCAGTAATGGCTTCTGTCAAGTACTCTGTTTGAAGCCCAGTATTGCCAAGCTTAGATCTCTCAACTGTTTATTTCTAGAGTTGATATACAGTCCTAGATGTTTTCATAGATGTTCATGTGTCTCTGAAGACTAAATTATTCCATGCCTTAGGGATTTAGCATTCCTGCTGGCTGCTGTACAGAGTTGAGTATTTTGATGATGTAAGTTAATAAACATAACCTACTTTCTCCCATGAACATGCATTTTCTTTACTCTGACAGCAGGAACATCTGGGTGAGGTCTGTTAGCTTTGCTTTAAACATTCTCCAGCTCAGTATTATACTTAATGATATACCAGTAATATAAAAAGTTCCCATATGTATTTAACACATTGGCTGACATGTGAAACAGCATACCTTACATGGTGTGTGACCCACCAAGGGCCTGTGGGAACATCCCACATTATCACGCATTTCTGCAACGCTCGCTCTTCGCATCGCTTTTCACCATCACGCGCGCTAACCAATCAGATTGCTTCAAACGATCGCATTTATACTACGCTCGGCGCTAGCCCGCGTCTACACAATTACGCGCGCTAGCCAATCAATTCTTGCTCCTCACTTTCGAGTTTGGCTCCGCCCCACCGACCAGCGTATAAAAAGGAGCGACTCCAGAATTCAGTTCAGTTCATTGATTCAGTTCAGCAGTTTCACATCAAGCAACTTCAACCAGCAGGCTTCGTCGCCAGCGCTCGGTCTTCGGAGACATCGGCAGGCTGCGCCGGGCACGACTGCCTCGGCCCTCCAGCGCTCTCACACCCGACTCACTGGGGCACCAGCGCCTGGACTCGCTGGTGGTCGTGTTACGGTCCGACTCACTGGACCTCTGGCGTAGCCACTGCCTCACGACTCCTACGACCGCGGTCAACGACTAGCCTTTCCACTAGCCTTTTGCCAAGCCTTTCACCGCAACCAGCCGTTCCACTAGCCTTTCACCGCAGCAAGCCTTTCTCCTTACCGGCGCGCGCCGCGCTACCTCTCCGGTCAATCATCTCATCAGCCACGGTCCTTTTCAGGGCCAAGAAACTGTACCGAAGAAGTGGGTTGTCATCGGAGTAATGACAAGACTACTCACGTTAAAGAGTGCCCCACAGGCCACACACCAGAAACCAATTTGAATACACATATTACAGATAACATCATCACCTGTTATCATATTATAAACCTGAATTGAGTTACAAATTCATATTGCAACTGGATCTTGGAAGAAAATTAAAAAATTATATAGTGACAGCCAATGGGTTAAGCAGAGCACTACTTCTAAGTTCTCAATACAGTCAGAATTTTTATTTTTTATGTTTTTAGAGGATATATGTAAAAAAAAATTACCTTCTCGTTGGTGTCTCCTTATCATGGTGAGGGGGTTTGAATATGCCAAGGACCCTGAGAGCTATACTAGCGGTAGCATAGCTGCTGGCAGGGCCTCCCTTGCTGGACAGGTCAAAGGGTAGGCATCAGACGAAGAGAGACACCAAAAACCAAAAAATGATGTCAGAAGCAGCGTCATCAGCAGCGACTTGAAGCATAGAGCAAATGATGCTCAAGATGGTTCAAGTTTGTATAGCAACAGGCGTGATCAGAGTGGTTTGAACGGCTGCTGTACTGCGATGTGGAAAGCAAATGGAAAAACTACCACCTTATCACTTTTCCTGGATAGTCTCTTTCCAAAAACAGAAGGTTGCATTAAGTGGAGGAACTGTTTTGGAAGAGACTGTGGACCTGTCGTCTGACAGATTACAGATGAATGAATGAATGTAAAATTTAATCAAAATATAACATAA